ACACACACACACACACACACACACACACACACACACACACACACACACACACACACACACACCTGAGAGCAGGTCCAGTAACAGTGTGCACTCTGCTCACAGACAGGAAACACAGAAGCTTCAGATAAAATAAAACACGTCACTAAAAGATTCTTTTTCACTTAAACATCTTACAGGAGCAACAGAGGAGAGGATGTTGTCATGGAGACTTGTTTCCCTGGTTCTGGAGAGCTGAGCGTGCTCAGATGGCGCTGATCCGTCAGCTCAGCTCAGTGAGCGCCGCTGCTGCTTCTACGTTTCTGCACAAAACACAACCATTGAASTCATTTAGACTTTAGTTTTGACCAAAGGTCTTCGTACTGCACAGATTAAACAAGAACACACACTTCTTCCTTCAGAAATGTGTGTAACTGTGTGTAACTGTGTGTTACCATACCACACCACTGTTATTTAGAAAGACCTTTAAACAGCACAAGGCCAACCAAAGTGCTGTACAGTACACAGACACAACAGGACATTGTTAAAATACAGTCAGAATACAGTTAAAATATGCAGTATTTATATTTACAGTACACAGAACAGAGTTATGCTGATCATCACAGATAAAATGGTGAATGAGATCAGAGGCTTCTGGAACAAGAAAAAAGTCAAAGTTCTGAGTTTTGCTGATAAAGTGTCTGACCTCACAGAGAAGATTCTGGAAATCTCAGCAGAATATCCAACTGTGAAGACCCTCATCATTCATACAGGAAGTGATGAAGTGATGAACCGACAGTCAGAAATCCTGAAGAAGGATTTTATTCTGCTGCTGAATGCAGTTAAAAATCTCAACATGGATGTGTTCCTCAGTGGGCCCGTTCCTACAGCCAGAGGAGGAGCTGAGAGGTTCAGCAGACTGTTGGCTCTTAATGGTTTTTGGAAAAAGTCCTGTGTTGACCACTCTGTGAGTTTTGTGGATAACTGATCTCTTCTGGGAAAGAAAACATCTCTTCAGGTCTGATGGAATGACTCTGAATCAAACTGGAGCACAGCTTCTGGTTTCCAACATGAAGTATTTCCTGAACCAAGTTCTGGCTGGAACCAAACAACAGGATAAACCACAACAGCTGACGTCTGAAAGACAGCTGGAGAAAACTGAGATATCAGTGGAACACAGTGTGCCAGTTACTGATAAGAAGACTGCTTCAGAGTCAGAACCAGAGAGAGAGGAGTTGCTTCAAGCTGCAGAACTGGAAGAACAACTGGATTCATCAGCACCACAAATAGAGGATCTCTTGGACTCTGAGACCCCAACAGGACAGCAAGTGGAATGCCCCCTCCTGGATTTTACTAACAACATGGAAGAACCTGGTGAGATTAAGATCAAACAAACACCGTGTCCAAATCCACGTAACCCTCCATTTCCAGCCCCGTGCACTAAACCAAGATCTACAAAAAGTCACAGAGCCCCAACACCGCCTCTGACCCTTCGACACATCAAAACAGACAATCCTGCCGACAACGCCAAAATTTGTGGTGGCACGATTTACCAAGAATGCAGAAACAGTTGGAATACCAGAAAGGTCTGCGTGTATGATAATCAAATATGGTTTAATTGTGAGCGACAAACAAACAGAACTGAATCAGGAAGGTTCTGCATGCTTGCGACTGAACTCGTCAGCAGACTACAGCCAGTAATATAACATCATGTTAACACCATGTGACAGTTTACAACCAATCACAGATTGCCAAATATACTGTCCAGCCTATGACTGGGCTCCCAGCCCAAAGAGTCTGTTATCAACCAAGAGAGTTCTGTCCATTGCGGAGTCCTGACGTCCGGAAACAAACAGACAACGAGAGCGAAATGAGCTGTCAGAAAGACACGAGTGATGGACAGTGTCAAGGTGAAACAGATATAAATGATTAGTCCATGACAGGTACACAGTGAGGGTTTTGCACCATCTCACTCGAGACTTGAACACATTAKYTATGTTTACATGYACAAAATGTTTTGATCAGATTGAAATGTAWTCAGATTAAATAATCCAAATGTACTGTTTACATGGACACAATCCGATCATGAAAAGTGTTTACATGTCTGGACTTTTATTCAGAATAAAAGTCCGGACATGCGCAGTGTTGTAAACGTTCAGCTCTACTTCCTGTTACAAACATAAACAAAGCTCCTCTGTGCCTCAGGACGACCCGTGTCAGTTTTTAATAACTGTAGAGACGTTGTTACTCCTCTGTTCAGCTGCAGATGAACCAATACGTGTTTTTATTTTTTGCGAAGCAACGTCTGCTGTTTGTTTCCTTTTTTATCTGTAGAGCGAGGAGGAAAAGTTCTGCGTGGCGCAGCGTAGCTGGAGCGCAGCTGTCCCACAGGGTGAATGAAAGTCAGCAGACATGTGAACACAGGTTTTACTGATGTTCTCAGAGGAAGTGTGAGCAGGAGAGAGCAGGGTTGGAACAAAACACAGAATCTTTGACATGAAATGTTAAATCTGCAGACAGAAGGTTCAACTTTTCAAAGAGGCAGAATGCTTGTGTGGGAAGCACTACTCTTTTTCATCTTACATCTTTGCTATTTGTTCCCATTAGGAC